CACACCAAATACAGACTGTAAAAAACTAGTTCAGAAAGTCACTAAACAAACTACAACAAATTCAAGAAGCAGCAATAACAAACTCTGGGGAGGGGGAAGAATCTGATTTCCACAGTTTTCACATAATGTTCAAAATGCCCAGTTTTCAACAAAAATTATTGAGGCATGCCAGGAAACAAGAAAGTATGACCCATACTCAGGAAAACAAGAAATCTGCTCATAGAAATTGAGGAAAACCGAGATATTGGACTTACCAAGAAAAGACTTTAAATCAACTGCCTTTAAAAAGCTCAAAGAGCTAAAGGAAACCACGTGTAAAGAACCAAAGGAAACTAAGAGAATGATGTCTCACCAAATAGAGAATGTCAATAAAAGGAAGTTATACAAAGGAACCAAATAGAAATTCTGGAGTTGAAAAGTACAATTATAAATTTTTAAATATCACTTAGAGGGGCTCAAGAGGAGATTTGAGAAGGGAGAAGAAAGAGTTGGCAAACTTCAAGATAGGTCAATTGAGATTTCCCAATCTGAGGAGTAAAAAGAAAAAAATGAAGAAAAATTAACAGAGCCTAAGACCTGTGGGACATCATCATGAAGTATACCAACGTACACATAATGGAGGTCATAGAAGAGAAGAGAGAAAGCAGAAATACTTGAAGAAACAGTGGCTGAAAGCTTAGAAATTTGATGAAAGACAGTAATCCACACATCTCAGGAGCTCAGTGAACCATAAGTAGTATTTTTAAGAAGATCCACTTTGAGACACATTATAACCAAACTGTTGAAAAACAAGGAATCCTGAAGTCAGCAATAGAGAACTGACTTGTCACATACAAGGGATCTTCAATAAGATTAACATCTGATTTCTTGTCAGATACCATAAAGGCTAGAAGGCAGTGGGATGACATATTCAGTGTGCTGCAAAAAGAAATGTTAACAGGAATCCTGTATCTGGCAAAATAGTCTTCAAAAATGAAGAAGTTAACACATTCCTGGGTGAACAAAAATTGAGACAGGTTCTTGCTAGTAGACCTTTCATGTGAGAAATGCTAAAGAAAGTCCTTCAAACTGAAATGAAAGGATACTGGACAGTAATTCAAATCCACCTGAAGAGATGAAACATTGGTAAAGATAAACATAGGTAAATATAAACATCAGTATTAATATATATTTTTTGGTTTGTAGCACCTCTTTTTTTCCTATATGATTTAAAAGATAATTGCACCAAACAAGGATTATAACACTGTGTTGATGGGCATAAAATGTATAAGGACGTGATTTGTGACAATAACATTAAAGGCAGGTGATGGAGCTATATAAGACATATATAGAGAGACAAAGCTTTTGTATACTATTGAAACTTGGTATTAATTCAAACTGGTTATAAATTAAGATGTTAATGTAATCCCAGAAAATAACAAAAATAGCAAAAGAAAGGAGAAGGAATCAAGTGGTACACTTGAAACCATCTAACATAAAATGTGGCAATAATGGAGGAATTAAGGAGCCCAAAAATTACGACATAGAAAACAAATAACAAAATGGTACAAGTCTTTATTTATTAGTAATTACTTTAAATATAAATGGAGTAAATGCTCCAATTAAGAGACAGAGATTGGCAAAGGACATTATATCCTAATAAAATGGTTAACCCATCAAAATATAACAATTATAAACATATATGCGTCTAACAATAGATCCCCAGAAAGTTTGAAACAGACTGACAATTGAAGGGAGAAATAGTCCCAACAATAATAGTTGGAGACTTCAACACTTCACTTTCCCTATTGGATAGAATAATTAGACAAAAGATAAACAAGGAAACAGAAAACTTGAACAGCACTATAAATCAACTAGACCTAACAGACATATATAGAACTGTCCACCCAACAAGAGAATATGCATTCTTCTTAAGTGCACATGGAAAATTCTCCAGATAGACCACAAAAGGATCTAAATAAATTTTAGAAGATTCAAACCATACAGAGTATCTTCTATGACCACAATGGAATGAAATTTAAAAGAAATATCAGGAGGAAATCTGGAAATTTTACAAGGAGGTGAAAACTAAACATACTTAAAAAGAACAGTGAGTTAAAGAAATGAGAAATTAAGAAATACTTTGAGATTAATTAAAATGAAAGCCCAAAACTTATGGGATGCAGTGAAAGCAGTGCTCAGAGGGAAATCTATAGCTGTAAATGCCTACATTAAAAAAGAAAAAAAAAAAAATCAGTAGCCTAACCTCCCACTTTAAGGAATTAGAAAAAGAAAAGCAAACTAAACCCAAAGCAACCAGAAAGAAGGAAATCATAAAGATTAGAGTGCAGATAAGCAAAATAGAGACTAGAAAAACAATAGAATCAATGAAACAAAAGCTTCTTCAAAAAGATCAACAAAATTAACAAACCTTTAGACTGACAGAAAAAGGAGAGAGGAGACTCAATTACTAAAATCAGAAATGAAAGTGAGGACATTGCTAACAGCTTCATAGAAGCAAAAGGATTATAAGAAAACACTGTTAACAACTGTATGCCAACATATTAGATAACCTAGATGAAATGGGGAAATTCCTAGCAACACACAAAGTCTGAAATTTGACTCAAGAAGAAATAGAAAGTCTGAATAGACCTATAAGAAGAGATCAGTAATCAAAAACTCCCAACGAGGAAAAATCCAGAACCAGGAGCCTTCACCGGTGAATTCTATCAAACATTTAAAGAAAAAGTAACACCAATCCTTCTCAAACTCTTTCCCCCCAAATAGAGGGGGAAACACTTCCTAACTCATTCTGTGAGACCAGTATTACCCTGATACCAAAGCCACAAGAAATGTGCAAAAAAACCTCAGTGAAATACTATCAGACTGAATCTAGCAGTATATTATAAGGATTATCCAGCATGGACAAGTGGGATTTATCAAAGGAATATAAGGAACATTCAATATGTAAAAAATAAATCAATGTAATACATATTGACAGAATGAAGGGGGATAAAAACTACATGATCTCAATTGATGCAGAAAAAGCATTTGAGAAAACCCAACATCTTTGCACATATAATAAACCTAAGAAACTAAAAACAGAAGGAAAATCTATCAACCTGAAATAAAGGGCATCTACGAAAAGCATACCCAATGGTGAAAAAATAAAAGCTTTTCCTTGAGATCAAGAACAAGACAAAGATGTCTGCTATTGCCACTACTACTCAACATTGTATTGAAAGTTATAGCCAGGGTAATTAGGCAAGAAAAAGAAAGAAAAGGCATCCAGATTGGAAAGTAAGAAGTAAAACTGTATTCACAGATTACATAATCTTATATATAGAAAATCCTAAAATATCCACAGAAAACCCATTAGAGCTAGTAAACGAATTCAGCAAAGCTGCAGGATAGGATATGTGATCAACCAAAAAAGTCGTTTATATATCCATGCACTAGCAATGAACAATCTGAAAGTAAAATTAAGAAAACAATTCCATTTACAGTCATTGCAAAAGGAATAAAATAAGGATAAATTTAACCAAGGTGCTGTAAGACTTTACACTGAAAAATACAAAAAATACAAAACATCCTGTGCTCATGGATTGGAAGACTTAGTATTGTGGAAATGGCAATACTCTAAAAATTGATCTACAGATTCAATCTAATCCATATCAGAATTCCAACTGCCTTTTGCTGATGTGGACAGGCTGATCCTAAAATACATATGGAATTGCAAGGAACTGTTCCTCAAATAGCCAAAACAGTCTTGGAAAAGAACAAAAAAGTCAGGGAACTCATACTTAATTTTAAAACTTACCACAAAGCTATAGTAATTCAAACAGTGTGATACTGGCATAAAGACAGACATACAGAACCATGGGATAGAATTGAGAAGTAAACCTAAACGTTATGCTCAGTTGATTTTTGACAGGGTGCCAGGACTATTCAGTGGGGAAAGAATATTCTCTTCAACTAAGTGCAAGTAATGAAGCTGAATCCCCACCTCACCACATACAAACATTAACCTAAAATAGATTTTAAAAACTAAATATAAGAGCTAAAGCTATAAAAATCTTAGAAGACAGGATTAAATGATTCATAACCTTGGATGTGGTAGTGGATTCTTAGATATGACACCAAAACAAGAAGGAACAAAACAAAGATAAATTGGATTTCATCAAAACTGTTGTTTCGAAGGACACTATAAAGAAAATAAAAAGACAACCCAGAATATGAGAGAAAACATTTGTAAATCATATATCTGATAAAAACCTAGTATCCACAATACATAAAGAACTCTTACAACTCAACAGCAAAAAGACAACCTAGTTTTTAAAATGGGCAAAGGATTTGAATAGACCTTCCTCCAAAAAAGACATACAAGTGGCCGACAAACACATGAAAAGATGCTCAGCATCACTAGTCATTAGGTAAATGCAACTTAAAACCACGAGATAACCACTTCACACACCTAGTGTGACGCCTATAATCAATAAGATGTGTAGGGGAGGATAAGGAAAAATTGAAAACCTTATATATACGTTGCTGGTAGGAATGTAAACTGGTACAGTTGCTATGCAAAAACAGTTTGGTTGTTCTTCAGAAACTTAACATAGAGTTACTGTTTGACTCAGCAATTTCATCCTTAATTATAGACCCAAGAGAAATGAAAACATATATATCCACACAAACTTATACATGAATGTTCATAGCATTATTCGTAATAGCCAAAAGGTGCACACAACCCAAATATCCACTGATTTGATGAATGGATGAATAAAATGTGATATATCCATAAAATGGAATATTATTATTCAGCCATAAACAGGAACGAAGTACTGATACATGCTACAACATGGACGAACCTTGAAAATGTTATGCTAAGCGAAAAACAGTTAAACACAAAAGGCTTTGTGTCTGACACAGTCATACACAAAAATGTATGATTACATTTATATGAAATGTCCAGCATAGGCAAGTCCACAGAGAAAGAAATATTAGTGGTTTCCAAGGGAGGATGGGAGGGGGAATGGGAAGTGACTGCTTAATGGTACAGGGTTTCTTTTGGGGGTGATGAAAATTTCTGGAATTAGAAGGTGATGACGAGAATTAGAAGGTGGTGATGACTACACATTATGAACCCACTGAATTTGTACTGTTTTAAATGGTTAAAATTTTGAATTTTATCTCAACAGAAACATTTTTTAAAACTTTAATGTGCACGCAGATTCCCTGGGGATCTCATTAAAATGTAGATTCTGATTCAGGAGGTCTGGGCAGGGCCCCGAATTCTGCATTTTTGATAAGCTCCCAGGTGACACCCCTGTTGTTCACCTACAGCCACATTTTGAGTAACAAGTTTACTCAAAGGGCCCTTCCACTGTGTCGCCTTAACGATTCTGCGCCTCAGGTGCCTCACCTCTTGAACTAACTCCTGCCCTGTCCACCCCTATAAATAAGGAGGGTGGAAGTACAGGTCTGAGCCTGCAGGGGGTGTGAGTCTCAGCGCATGGGAGCAGATGGAGAAGGGGCTGTGGCTGCAGGGGTCACTGTCAGCAGACACAGAGGGGACCAAAGGAGTAGCTTTTATTTTGCACAAAGCTGAGGACGGCAGGCCAGAGCGCACGGCTCTGTTCTCAGAGGAGAGCTGTTGTATCACTGCCCGCTGTTGGGTGGCTCCTGCTCTGGTGCTCAGAGGCGATCTGAAAGAAAGGGGGCGGCCTCGGAGTGAGCAAACAGGGTGCTGAAGGCTGCCTGTCCTCCCCTCCCAGTCCCCTGGGGACTCCTGTGCCAGGACGCAGGGCTCGAGGGAGCAGGTGGCAGTCCCTCCACTGCCAATGAGAGGGATGCCAGGCTTCCCTGATAGGGTTTGGTGGCGTCAGAGGAGTAGAAGGGAGATGGTAGGAGCTGTGACGTGTGTAAATGGCCAGGGGAGGAGGCAGCCGCTCTGAGTCAGGGTGGTGCTGAGAGTGGAACTCTTCCAGGTGCCCTTACCCGATGCTGGGCTGCAGCAACCCCGGGCGTGGGGGCAGAGAGCACTTGCGGTGAGCCCGGAGGATGCCTCCCACTTCTGTCCCAAGGAGGAGCTGGAGCCTCCCTGGCTTGTCCAGGCTACACCATGGGGGTGGAGCAGCCGTCCCCATGCTGCTGCCCAACCCTGGAGGCTGTCATCTCTGCTACCTGAGCTGCTCACCGTCTCCTCTGCGAGGTCGGGGATCAGGCTGAAGGGGCCCGGGGGCAGATTCCAGGCCAGCTCCTCCAGCTGAGCCAGCAAGCCTTTCACTTCTGCCTCCAGGTGCTCCACCGTCTTCTCCACCGTCTAAAGCAAGGAGAGAAGTTGGGGGAGGAGTAGAGGACAAGAGTGGTGACAAGTCCCACTTAATCAGCCACATCCTAAGGAGCACCTGGAAGTCCAGTAGGGTGCAGTGGGGAGAGAACTGGGTGCCAGGGGACCTGGCTCCTCTTGGTTGAGGCCCTGCCCTTGCCTGCCTCTCAGCTCCCCAGATAACAAAATCCTAGGAGCTCACTCTCTAAGGCTGCTTGCTTCTGCCTCTGGCACTCAGGGGTTTTACCCAGTCATTGGTTTGGGGCTTGGAGGGACTCTGGGATTCTTTTTTCCCTTTCAGGATGTCACCACGGGGAGCTCACATTCCTTTTGTTACTCCGCCCCCTGGTGGCAATTCTGCCAAATGACAGTATTGGGATTTTGAAATTTTCTTTATTCAGGGTTCTTAACTTTTTTCGCAAATGAACCCCATTAGCAGTCTGGTGAAACCTACAGACCGCCATCAGAAAAACGCTTTCATTGAGAAAAATAAAACATACAGGATTTCCAAGGGTATAAACTGCAGTAAAATACTATTAAAGTATTAAAAATTAAATTTTGATATAAACATTTATGTATTTATTAACTTATTTAACACCAGGTCTAACAACTACTGAAATTTTTTTTTCTTTTTTTTTTTTTTACTACTGAAATTTTGACATACTGATAGTAAACAATATATCGAGGTATTCACAATGACTGTAATAGGATGAAATTATCTGTGATTTCTATTGCTGACAAAGTCACAGTACCGTTAATACTCCTGCAGTTTGTTGTCTGTATTTATAGCGAATGAGAATGCTAAATCTCAGCTAAAGGTCTGAGAAAATGAAGTGCAATTTTTTCCCCCCACACAAGTTTATGGACCCCAGGTTACAAACCATGGCTGTGTAACAAAACACTGCAATTGAATTTCCACCTTCTCATCTGGTGATTATGGGGAGATCTCTGGCTGGTGGGAAGCAAGGTCCTGGGGAGGCAGGGTCTGTTGGGGGCTGGACAGCCTAACAGCCCAGGTAGGGCAAGGAGATGTTTAACATAGTGGCCAGGGAACAGGATTGGCCCAGATTTCCCCAACTTTCCAAAGCAAGATTGGCCTGAACCCTCCAAAGCCACCAGCCTGGCAGGTGGTCCTGAAGCTGCATGCCCTCTCAGGTCACCCTCATTACCTCCTCTATGACGTCTAACCGGCCATGGACAGCCATGTGTCTGTCACACCCTGCAGTCCGAGCTGGGTCTCCTCGGGAGGGGATGAAGGGTTCAGCAGCTGTAGGAAAACAAGTCTTGTCACTGTGGGGTCCTCGGTTTCCCTGTAACATTAGAGACTCCTGCAAACATGGGGCTCAAGGGAGGTGGGTCCTAAAAACAGTCCAAAGAGAAGCAGAGGAAGGCTCAGTGTGGATCAGGGTGTGAGTGTAGGGTTGCCCCACTCACTCACTTGGCCATGGTCTCCTACAGACCCAAGTAGGCTTCCTTAAGGAGGTGCTGCCTGAACTGGGTAAGAAAAGGAAGGGAGGAAATGTTTCAGCCAGAAGGAACGGCATGTGCAAAGATAGGAATGAAATAGCATGGCTCAGTGCACAAACCCTCAGGAAGCCTGAAGTGGCTGGAAAGTACAGGGTGGGTGGGAGTTGAGACTGGAGAGGTGGATCGTGGAAACAAGGCCGGGCCCTAATAAACCAATCACAATGCTTGTTTTGGGGTTTATTTAAACAGGAGAGTCATGCAGTCATATGTGAATTTTTAAAATACAGAGAATGGATTGGAGAGATTCGTCTTTGAAGGCAGGAAGTTACTGCAGTAATCAGCGTAAGAAGTGATGAAAGGAGGCAGTAACCGTAGGAAGAGAGGAAGAAAATGCATGGAGACACTGTAGTAATAGTAATCGTAACTGACATTGGTGACCAGTCAGTAACATCTGACACGAGTGAGTGCTAAACAAATGTGTTAACTCAGTCAACCTCTACAACCAATTATTACCCCCAATTTACACATAAGGAAATTGATGCACAGAAAGGTGAAATGATACGTCTAACGTCACACAGCTAGTAAGCGGAATATCTGAGGTTCAGTTTGTTCAACATCATTTTCCTCCCCAACGTTGGCTCCTCCTTGGTTCCTTACACCACCAACCTTCACACCAGAAGTCTTAGAGCCCGGGCTTTGAGCTCAAGTTGCAGTATTGGTGGCTCTGAGATAACCTGCAGGGCGTCTGAGTTGGCTGAGTCCTTGGAGAACCTGGACACACAGAAAGGAGGATGCTGCCCCAGAAGCAAGGAGAAGCCAAGAGCTTTCAAAAGGATGAAGCAGTCAGCATGGCCTAAAGCAGCATGGAGGTCTAGCAAGATAAGGACTCAGAGCAACAGAAAAGTGGATGCTGAATGCCGTCCCAGCGCTTTTAGTGGAGAGGTGCCGACAGAGCAAAGTCTAGTCGCAGTAGGATGAGAAGGGAAGGAAAAGTCAGGAGGAGGAAACTAAGATCCTGGAAAACATTTCCATGAAGCCTGGCTGTGAAGGAAGGGAGATCAGATCACAAGGTGATCTAAAGCAGTGTTTATTGTTGTTGTTTCCAGGTTTTTAAGCATTGAAGAAACACAACCATGCTTATAGCCTGAGGACAGGAGGAAGCCGGGAGAACTGAAAGAATGCATTTCCCAAAGAGATGTGAGGCCACGGAATCCAGAAATGGTGGTGGGGGTAGGGGTCACATGTGGAAGGGAGAGAGAGGAAACGCAGCAAAAATGGGTAAAAAAGTTCTACTTAAAGGGCCAAGAAGTTGAGTGAGTCCCACCTGATGGCCTCTGTTCACTCGGTAAAGTAAGAGGGGAATCATGTGCTGAAAATTCATGTCGGGTTAGGAAAGGAAAGCGAGTTGTGAAGCATTACCAGGAATTCTGTGAGTGGGTTGTTAGACACAGCCACTAAAATGGGAGCCATGGTGAAAGTATTGCCACCATGGAAACTGACAAATGCTTTCTTTTGTTTTCCGAAAGCCAGTGTATCAGCCCGCCCCTGGGTAAGAAGCTTGAATAAAGGGGGGGCTCCAAAAGGGGATGAGGAGAACGAGGAAGGCGGTTAGGAGGAGGATGCAGAACAACCTGACGTCACAAGGAAGCCCTCCCGCAGCAGCTCAGCAGGTGGGTGTCAGCAGCAGAGACAGCTGGCTGATGAGCTGAAGCCTGGGAGTCTGTGGCCTGAGTGCGGTGAAGAACAAGAGTGAGGATTCGACCAGCAAGGGCTTAAGGGGACGAGCTCGGGCATCTAGCTTGAATAACGAAGGAGAAGGCAATAAGGGGGCCAATAATTGGGAGAAATGGAGGGGCTGAAGGCACTGCAGATCTCAGTGAGATGATGGGAGTAACAGAAGGAACAAGTGATAAGGGATATTGCAATTTTAGCTTTTAGAGGTGGAGCAGCTTCACAGTGACAATACCAAGGCTGTGGGCATCTGAAGCAGAGCAGGGGTAAGAGTTATTGGACTTGATCTTTGTAGATGCAAAACTCTTGTAAGACCTCGATGTTGGCTGGGTTGCCCGAGGGGACATATAAAGTTGCCCAGGAGGTTGGCAGGTCTTGAGGCAAGGATAGTGAGCTATTTTGCTGGTGATGAATGTATAACTCTGAAGGCTGAGTGACTTGTCTATGATCACACAGTCAGCAAACGACTGGACCCCAGGCACCCTGGCCTTCCCCTGGCCCCACCTCAGCCAGCTGGCCTTCTGGAGCTCTGCCACCGTCCCCATGCCCTGAGAGTCCCTGGTCTCAACTCTCTCTGGATCTCAGCTCTTCCACTCAGGGGCGAGAACCAAGTGCAGGGGCAAAACTTCCTTCCACTCTGAGCATCTTTTGTGGAGAACAGTTTGGGTTTTTACATCCTCCCCTTCATTATGTCCATCCACTGAACTTAGAAAAACCTCTTCAAAAAACAATGGTGGACTTCCCTGGTGGCACAGTGGTTAAGAATCTGCTTGCCAATGGAGGGGACACGGGTTCGAGCCCTGGTCCGGGAAGATCCCACATGCCGCGGAGCAATGAAGCCCATGCACCACAACTACTGAGCCTGCGCCCTAGAGCCTGCAAGCCACAACTACTGAAGCCCGCGTGCCTAGAGCCCATGCTCCGCAACAAGAGAAGCCACCACAGTGAGAAGCCCGTGCACCACAAGGAAGAGTAGCCCCTGCTCGCCGCAACTACAGAAAGCCCACACGCACCAACGAAGACCCAACACAGCCAAAAATAAATAAATAACTTAAAAAAAAAACCAAAACCCAATGGTCTTGGGACTTCCCTGGTGGGCCAGTGGTAAAGAACCCACCTTCCAATGCAGGGGACGCAGGTTCGATCCCTGGTCGGGGAACTAAGATCCCACGTGCTGTGGGGCAACTAAGCCTGCACGCCACAACTACCGAGCTCATGTGCCTCAACTAGAGAGCCTGCGTGCCGCAAAACTACAGAGCCTACGCACCACAACTACAGAGCCTGTGCACCACAACGAAGATCCTGCGTGCTGCAGCTAAGACCTGATACAGCCAAAAGAAAAGAAGAAAGAAAATAAATAAAAATAAGTATTTAAAAAAACAACAATGGTCTTCTTGTTGACTTTAGGGAGGGAGGGGATGTTATAACTTTGGTTATTTTTTTTAAGGGAGCCTTTTAGAGAGCTATACTGAAAATATTTACATGTAAAATGCTATGATGTCTTGGCTTTACTTCAAAATAACCCAGGCCTGGGAGTGGGAGGAGGCATGGGTGGGAGTATTGAGCAAACAAGATTGGCCAAGATTGGTAACTGTTGAAATTGGGTGATGCGGACGTGGGGTTAACTCTGCTATTCTCTCTACTTTTGTATATATGGTTTGAAATTTTCCATAATAAAAGCCAGTTCTCTGATGGGGTTGTTAGCAAAAAGCAGAAGCCATGGGTTTCGTGCATTGATACAAAATGTTCAGGATGGGTGTCAGGGGGTGGGTGGTCTGAGAGACCCCACCTGGAGGGCTGGGCTCCATTCTGGACCATTCATCGTGAGAAGGCTTTTGACAGGCAGAGGCAGGGCTAAAGGGAGCCACCGTGAAGGGACTCCAGATTTTGACTCCTTTGTGTCAGCTGAAAAAGCTGGGGTGCTCAGCTAGAGAGAAAAGATTTTGAGGGGGCAGGCAGAGCTGTTTTCACCCAAATAGAGGGCTGTCAGGGAAGAGGGGGTCTGTCCCGGTCTAGGTCCGGGCCCACACACACCCTCTGCAAGCTCCGCCCAGGGGCCTTAGGCCAAGACTTTCCCCTGAGTCCCACCTGCCCCCTCCCAGACCCTAAAGTACTCTTCCCCCTCCTCCCAGCTTAGGCCAAGAGGAAGCAACATGACCCTGCCGGCCAAGTGGGGCTCTGCCAGCTCTGGAAGTCACGAACAGCATGAATCTGCTCCCTCCCTCAGCCTAAAACATCCTGTTCTCTACGTGTCAGCGATGAGGTCTCACTTGGCTCCCAAACCCCTCCAGGGAAGAGGCTGGGCTGAGGTTGCTCTCCAAATCACACAGCACTAATCCATCACATCTGGACGCAACTGCGCCCTGGGCTGCACTGCACAACTGTCTGTGAGCTCCCAGGCCTCCGGAGGAGCTCTGCTGAGAGAGAGCTGGGGCAGAGCCAGGCCACCCTGCGCTGCGGCTCCCTCCCCCACGTGGGTGCTCATGGCATTGACCTCAGCGCATGATGGCAGAAAACACACTGCAGACCTCCGTTCCCAGCCATGAACTGGTGCAGGGCCGTGGGAACTTTCTTCTCCCTGAGCCTCTGCTGCCTCCTCTGTAACACGGGTTTGGGGGCGGGGGCGGCACTGCCGGATGCAGCTCATCCAAGGTTTGCCTCTGTCTTTCAGGCCTCAAAAATTAGCTACGAAGACCGAACCAGGATGAGTCAAGGACAAGTTGCTTCTTGGCCCAGAAGCTCCAGCAAGGCAAGAACTGGGCAAGGGCTCCCTTTGCTTCGCGCTTCCTCTCCAGTAGAAAGGGGCTCACGGTAACGCCAGTTTCACGGGGCTTTGGGGAAGCTCAGACCAGAGGAAGAGTGGGGGAAGCTGAAGGATTATCACGACTGACCATGCGCGGCCAAGGCTGTGGTTCCTGGTGCTCCCTTCCCTCCTTCGATCCCGCCCTCCCTGACCTGGCCAGTTGGGAAATGGACCTTCTTGGATGCAGGGTTGTTTTCTCTGGCCTGGCTTCTGCTCAGGGCCTATGTGCACCCCGGACGGCAGGCGTAGGTGGAACATGGTGAGAGCAGGCTGCCAGTGGAGACGGGAGGCCCAGTGCAGGCACCAGTTAAAGGGACACGGCCACTGGGCCTCCCCCCCAGCCCTCCCCCACTGACAGGCATAGGAGACCTTTTGTTTCTGGATCCGAACACTAAGAAGGCGCACACAACTCAAAGGATTTCTGACCCCGAAAGGTGCTGCTATGACCAGCCACACTTGGCACTTGGGGGTTAATTCTATTTGACCACAGTCAATATAATAGTATAATAAATTTCACCACATTTGATATTTGTATTAAAATTTGTGCTTCATTCCAAACCATCAGTGGTTTTTTTGTTTTCTTTCTTTCTTTATTTTTTAATCAGAAGAACACTATTTTCAAACAACTATATGAAGAACTCTAGTCTATGGATGTGCTCTGGCTGAAAACAGGAGAGGGACCCTTGAGCCCCCTAAGAGGGAGCTCAGATGCTAAGGAACATTTTTGTTTTGTTTTGGGAGTGATATGTTCTGTCTCCCTTGTTCTCTGGTCATTTTCCAGACGTGGATTTGAGCCCTGCCGATCACTCTGAGAGCTTACCAATGTCAGTCCAATACAGTCGGCGTCTGGTTAAGTGAGGATACGAGCTGAGCTGCTGCAACAAAGAGCCCCCCTCAATCACACATGTGTTTATTTCTTTCTCACATATCAGTTCAGAGGTGGACTGGCTGATGGTCAGGGCTGGCAGGCAGCTCCGCTCTCCAAGGCCATCCAGGAAACCAGATTCCTTCTACCTTGGAATATGGTGATTTATAATCCACTGGGTTATAAAGTACTAGAACATTCCTAAACCCCCACCATGCTGAGGTCTAGGAAGCCATCCAGGATAAACCTCTCTCCACACACTGTCTGGGACTCACAAGTCTGGGAGTCAGAGGCACGGTCCCACCTCCACTGAACTGTGTTCTTTGCCTCTGACTCAGCTTCGTCTGTGAGGGATCTGCCCTGCTCTGTCTACTTGGTGGGACTGCTGTGTTGATCCAAGGGGATCCTGCATTTGAAGTTGCCTTGGAACTGCCAGATGATGTGCAAATGCCGTGTAGGTTATTCACCAGGTGGACTGGAGACTAAGCAGGTCAGTGAAAGCCCCTGCAGCCCCGCCTCTCCACCTGGAGCCAGTGCTTTTCACTAGATCACTCTGACCAGGTCTCCTCAAGATGGGGAGGCATCTGCTCTAGGACTATACCTGTGCAGGAGTCCAAGGGATGCTTGGGAGGGGCTTCTCCGACAAGCAAACAGAGGGCTCAGGGCTGACCGGGCTCTCTGGGCTCTGTTACAAGCCAATCCCACTTGCTGGATCCTTAGTTTCTTCACCTTTAGAATGGGCACAACCATACTCTATATTTGAAGCTACTGTCAATTTGTGATCAGTTATTATGGGCCAAGCTTTTTGTTGAGTGCTTACATGCATTAACTCATTTAATTCTATCTGTGAGCTCAGTACTCTTACTTACCAGTTTTTTATAGATTAGAAAACCAAAGATCAAAGAGGTTGAGTAACATGCCCAGGACTACACTGCTAGTAGGTAGTGGGGACAGGATTTGAATCCTACCTGCAAGACACTGTCTATACTATGTTCTGGCAGTTCTGTGATGAGTTAAGGGCCTCCTATCTTGGGGGTCTCAGCTGCCTCCTTTGTAAAATGAGGGGCTGGACAGGAATGGGGCAAAGGGGACCTATACACATGACATCTTTGCACCTGTCTTGAGGCCCAACAAGAGCCCAACTGTGTACGTTGAATCAGATTGTCTTTGAGAGGTTCACTCCCCACAACATCCATTTTTGTAAGAAGAAATGCAGTGATCCTCACCATAGCCCTTCAGCGTCTTCCTCTTCCACCCAAAGCAAAAAGCAGAATCCCAATGGAAGACAGATGTCCACAGAGACCTGGAATGGTGGTGGACAGTGAGAGCTTCCCCCTGTGGGCCCCAAGGCATGGGTGAGAATGGCTAATAGGACTAGGCTCTAGGACTTGATATCCCTCTGATAGCAAAATAGGAAAGGAGCTTAACTGAAGCCTTAACTTAAAAAACAAAAATTCTCTACAAGTAGCACAAGACAGTCTGCTTCACTCAACACATAAAGAACTTTTATAGATCGATATGAAAAAATCCCACCACCACGATGGAAAAGTCTAAGACAATTCACAAGAATTAGCAGAAATGACCAATATGCCTTTGAAGAAAAATCCAACCTTGGTAGTAATCAAAGAAATGAAAATTAAAGCAATAAACCATCTTAAAGTATTCTTGCAAAAAAAAATATCTAACTGGAATTAGCTGAAGCTTCTAGATCTAACTACCAGTTTATAGACAATATAGGGGAGAGAACAATTTAAATGACACCTGGGGGATGCAATCAGCTAAAATTGAAATGGGAAAAACTTTATAAGACTAACAACCCAGTTTCTTCAACAAATAAATTTTAAGAAAAAAGAGGGGAAAAAGAACTTACTAAAGAAACTTAAAACTTACTAAAAGAAACTTAACAGATATATCAGCCAAAAGCAATGTGTGTACCTTATTTGAATCAAACAAACCAAATATAAAAACATCACACAATCAGGGACAGTTGAAAGCTGATTGGATATTTGATGACATTACGGAATTATTGTCCATTTTTAGGGAGTGATAATGGTATTGTTATTAAAAGATTATTTATCTTTTAGAAATACATAAGGCAATACTTACAGATAAAAATATATAATGCCTGGAATTTCCTTTAAAATAATCTGAGGGAGGGGAGAGAAGGTGGGGATGATAGATGAATCCAGATCTGTCAGGAATCCATTCTTGTTGAAACAGTGATGGGCACATGATGGTTCACTATACTATTCTTTTTTTTATTATTATCCTTTTTCAAATTATTTTCCCATTTAGGTTGTTAAATAATATTGAGCAGCGTTCCCTGTGCTGTACAGTAGGTCCTTGTTGGGTATCCATTTTAAATACAGCAGTACGTACATGTCACTCCCAAACTCCCTAAGTATCCCTCCCCCAACTCCCAACCATAAGTTCGTTGCTCTCTAAGTCTGTGAGTCTGTTTCTGTTTTGTAAATAAGTTCATTTTTATCCTTTTTTTTTTAGATTCCGCATATAAGCAATATCATATTTGTCTTTCTCTGACTTACTTCACTCAGTATGACAATCTCTAGGTCTCTATTCTGTGTTTATATCCAACAGATTTGATAATCAACAGTTAAGAAAAACCATGGTATATTGTCTGAAGTCTGAAAGGTTGTACACAAAAATGTGTGAGCTCAGTGTGAAATTACATTAATATGTTTATACTCTCCTCTTTTTTTTTTCCTTAATCTGGAGGAATGAGGATGATCAGCAGGAAAATAATGTTTAAAAATGGCTTTAAGCTAAAATGTATATACCAGTCATAGCTAAAGGGGCCACAAAAAGTCTGCCACTGTGGGCGGCCAGCTCCTCCCTCTGGGGGGGCACAGACTCGGCTTTGTCCCCTCAGCTCCTGGAGGTGGGGACTCCAGGCAAGATGGGGCGGGGCGGGGAGGCAGAGAAAAAGGACAGCACCTGGGCCAGGCTCTGTGCTGCATGGTCCCAGCCACTCCTCACGCAGCCTGTGAGGAAAGGGTTGTTGGTCCTCCTTAGCCAACCTCAGTGGAGAACTGGGCCTCAGAGAGCTCAGCGGAGCTGTCCGAGGGGATGAGGGAAGGAGACAATGTGTGTTGACAGGTGTTCCGTGCTGGGTACTTCCCTTTCATCCAGCTCTGCTGGTGGGTACCATTCTCCCCACGTTACAGAAGAGGAAATAGCTTCAGAGAGGTGACATGACTCACCCAAGTTCACTCAGCCAGGGGCTGCCCAGGATCAAGACTGGCCTCAACCCTTTCCCTGGATGCCCACTCCCACAGTTCCCTGTGCCTGAAAGGGGCTGGGCCAGGGGTCAGGGGAGCTTCCATCTTAACACAGGGCAGGGTGACTCACAGCCACCGGCTCCAGGTTGATGGGGGAGCAGCCTTAAGTGTGGACAAGGGCCTGGCTGAGGGGGTAGGGTCCCTGGATGCCTGGAGAGACTGAGCCTTCCCCTCGCCCGTTCAACTGGGATGGGCACCAGCTGCCTCTGGTTGAGGCCAGCAAGAGACCTTGGGTAAACGGGAACGTGGCTTGTAAAGTGCTGTATAAAGTGCAGTCTTGGGGTGGTGGAAGGAACACCTGTGCACACAGTAAGTCCATCTGCAGCCACCTTGTCCGAGCCTCACCGGTGAAGGGGCAGCACTAAGACTGCTGTCAGGGAAGGGTAGAAGGGAAAGGGCACGGCAAGGAACCCAGCCAGTGGAGCGCCCAGAGGGCCTCTCCCTCCCGCAGCCTCCTCCCACCCACCCAAGGCAGCTTCAGGCCCTCAGGGAAGCTCTCCAAAAGGCTGACGACTGGCCTCCTCCACAGACCGCAGAAGCCCCTCAGACTACCTGGCAGGTAAAGCCGTGGCCTCCAGGGGCCGCCTGCCTGGGCCCTGACCGGCTGTGCTGGGCCAGGCCTGGGCGCCTCTGCAGGCCCTCTGGGCAGGGCTGGTCTGGAGGGTGGGGAGCTGGGGCTGCCCCACCCTGCAGACTTGACCTTCCACCTTGTGATCCTGGTCTCCTCCTCTCTTTCCTGTCGACCTGGGACAATGGGCTTCTCCACTCCCTCTCTCCTTTTTTGTCTCTCTCAAATCGGCCTCGCTTCCTCAGTATCCTCTCACCCTTTCTCTCTCCCCCACCCCCTTTCTCTTGCCATTTTAGTTCCTCTATTTCCTTCCTTCTTGTTCCGTTTGCCTCTCAAACTCCTTTTTCTCTCTATCCTCCTCATTCATAGTTCAGACCCATCTGTCTACCTCCAAAGTTTCTTTCTGTCCCAGCCTCTCCCTTGCTCTCTGTATTCTTCCCTCTCTCCTTTGTAATTCTCTCTGTTCCTCTGCCTTTATCTCTCTGCCTTTTTTGTCTCCATCTTTCTCTCCAATTTCTCTCACCATCTATCTATCTCTCTCCCTCCCTGCATCTCCCTCTCTCCATCCCTCTCCATCTGGCTTCGTTCCCATCTCCCTCCCTCTTCCCTCCCTCTCTCCTGCTCCTTCCTCGCGGTCCGCGGCCTCCCCGACCCTCGCCCTGCGTCCGGGCCCCACTCACCGGTGAAGGCATCAGAGGCGCGGAGCAGGGCAAGCCCGGCCAGCGCGCAGAGCAGGGGCCGCATGCTGCCGGCTGGCGGAGCGCAGCGCCGCGTCTGCCCGCTGCCGCCCTCCCCGCCCTCCCCGGGATCGCGACGGCCCGCCCGGGAGGAAATGCTCGCAGTCCCCGCCAAGATTCCTGGGCGGCTCCGGGCTTTTTGGCTCGAGCGAGTCCGCCCCCTCCAGAGACCCCGCGGGCGGAGGGGCGACGCGCCAGGCTGGGCGCCTCCCCTGGAAGGGGCCGCGCTCTGAGCCCCCGCGCCTCCCCCGGGCCCGAGCGCAGAGGAGTGGGCGATGCAGCCAGGGGTCCAGTGATCCGTTATGAGCCCATTTCACAGACGGGCGGACTGCAGTTTCGAGAGGAGTGCCACCCACACGTGTGGCACGGGATCTGAATTCCTGACTCCACGGGGTGTGAAAGCTTTTCTCTGCCCACCAGGAACAAGTAATCAACTCTCATGACATCGGACAGAGTGTTCAGCACATACTTAAGGTCTGTACTAGTTAGTGTTAGGTAAACTTTGGAGGGGGGAGAAAACGAAATAATTCTCATATTCACATGTCTGCACTTGAGGAGTTCGTGGTCTAGTGACCACCCCAGTATGAATGAACAGTAACTAAGCTTTGTTTGATTTATTCTACATACACCATCTCTCTGATCTTCACCGCACCCCCATCAGGAGTGCATCATTACGTCTATTCTGCAGACCAAGAAATTGAGGCTCAGAGGTGTTAAGAGCCTTGCCAATAGTCACACACTTGGTGTAATGTGGAGTCAGGATTTGAATCCAGTTCTGTTACTGGTAGATAATAATATATTGATACAACGTATTAATGAGAGCCGGGTTCTTTCCCCATTCTAAGCAAACCCAGAGTAAGAGCTGGGTGGGTTTTTCAGTTAACTTCAAATCATCTCCACCTCCCTCCAGTTTAAAAAACAGTAGTTGAACCTTCACCTATGGGACACGCCCACTCAACAAATGAAAAAAAAAAAAAAGTTAAGATTTGGGAAAGCAAAAGCCTCAGCCCTAACATCTGCACTGCAGAGCCTTGAGTGCATGTCCTGGCTGCCAGTGGAGCCCCTTCATTGCCAAGCCCAGGAGTATGTTTTTATCCATCAAGTGGCCCCTTTAGGGTTAACTGGAGCCCTTGCAGATCAAGGCTGCACCTCTGCCTTCTCTGTTACTGACTGTGGCTGTGCAATTGTACAAATATAGCCACCACACTAAGCAATAATCCTTCCTTCTCACTTCTTCCTCCAGATAATAGCCTCAGGAACAGAAATTCAGGTTTTGAGTCAGCAGATCTTGGACAGAGACTTGGATCTAAATTTTTAAAAAGCTCTCTTGGGAATTGGGATGCCCACATGAACTGGCTCAAAAGAAGGATTTATTTCAGAAATGCCAAGAAGTTTTCACACTTGGTAATAGGACTTTCTTGGTAGTTTACCTCGGTGGGAAGTTGTCAAAGAACAGTCAAACCCACAGGTTTGCAGCTCAGAATAAGTGGGGTGCCTAATATTTTGAATTTGCAATAAAAACAACATATATACAATATTTTCTTATTGTGGTAGAGGCGCAAAGTAATAAAGCATGCAGGGTAAAACCCCTCCCTGTCACAAACTCCCCCTACCGGGTGATTGTGTTACAGACCAGGCTTCTTGGCCTTCTTAATCAACAGAAATTGGTAAGAAGCCAGACAAGAAATTCAGGCAAGGCTTTACTGGGGCTGGTGCTGCTGCACGAGGGAGTGAAAACAAGTAACAGTTTCCCTTGCTTACTCCCTGGGGGGGAGGGGAGGCTGAGCTGGTTCCTTATGTGGGGTGAGGGTAGGGGTGGGTCCAGGGGTCTTGCAGGAGGGGTGGTCAGGTGGTCTGCCCACCCCCTTGGTGGTGCTGCGTGCAGGGCGCATGCACAGTACCCTGCTTTTGCTCCCGGTTCCTCAGAAGCGGCCGTTGGGTTTTGGTCCTTTTGTATCTTGTTGTTCCTAATTTGCCCCAACTGCCCACTCATGCAGTTATTTTTAGTCCTGTATAGTTTCTTTGTATTATGTTGCTGGAGGAGACATTCGTCCAGGTGCAAGCACTGCAGCAAAGGGTCCCAGGTCCCAGGTCCCAGCCTGTCTCAATTCCAGTCAAGTTCCCTCAGCTTGGTGGACTCTTCCAGTTCCTTGTCTGTGCATTCCCTATCGATCTAATATAAATTCAGACACAAATATATAAACATAGGATTGAATAATATATTTTTGGGATTTGCTTTCACCTTCATGTTCATCTCAGTCATAACACCAAATCTTAAAGATCATTCTATGTTAGTACACCTAAATCTGAGACAGGCAAAATATCTCATGATTGAAGGCGCTATTATTTGTCCAGATGATCCCCTGTTGATGGACATGGAGTTTGTTTCCTTGTGTTTTTTTCCAATATAAAGCATGCTTCAGTGAACATCCTTTTGCATATATCTTTATGTATATATTACATAATTCTGTATTTCTGAAAGGCCTTATTCCTGGAAGAGGAATCAGTGATTCAGAGGGCCTTTTACATTTTGCTAGATATGCCAAAGGCTCTTACTAAGCCCAAAGGAGGGGCGAGGCACTGAGAGCAAGGCTCCAAGGTGCACCCAGTTACATTGTAGTTTATGTTGCAGTTGTGCTGTAGGGGGCGCCATTTACATAAAATACATCTGGAGTGGGAAGAGCTGAAGTAGATCTGGCAGCCCTGTACATTCTCCAACACTGAATATTTATCTTTTGATATTTTGACAGTTTGATGATGAAAAAAATGTTACCTTTTTGCTTCTATTTACATGCTATTTATTGAGTGAAGATGAGCTTTATTTGCCTAGTCAAATACTTTTTTCTTTTCTTTACATATTCTGATTATTAATCCAGTAATGCCTGATAGATATGTTGGCAATGTTTTCTTCCATTCTTCTATTGTCTTTAACTTTCTTTGTGATATCTTTCATTATACAGAAGTTTTAGATATTTATTTAGGTAGCCAAATTTCTCAATATTTTCTTTTATGGCTTCTAGATTTTACAACTTGCTTATGATTCCTCACATCAGGGATATAATCAAATTATATTCAAATATAATCAAATTATATTTGATTCCTCAAATATAAAAGTATTTTCCAACATTTTCTTCAGATAGCTTAAAGTTTTTTTAAAGGTGTAACCTCTAATACTTCTAGAATTTTTATGTGGTTCCAAGGAATGATTCAAGCTTAAATTATTTTCCCACATGGACATCTAAATAGCCTGCTCTTTATTGCACAGTCCATCCTTTAGCCACTAATTTGAACATAAAAAAAGTTGTTGGTTTAGCTATTCATTCCCAAGTGGAGGTCCAAAAAAATCTCTCGCCATCATGTCTCGCCAAAACTAAAATAAGCTTATCATTTCAATAAATACTGAAACTATTATTTTATGAAATTAAATAGCCATCCCAGACTTAAAAACAACAACAAACTCTAAGAGGTAGAAATAAAGAAAATAAAAGTACATTTTCTTCATAAGATAACTACTTTTACCTTACACAACTGGTTTGCACATACCTGCAGGAGAAAGGAGAGTGGCATCCTTTAGGAAGCCAGGAATGAGGTAAAGACACCATCCATCACCGCTATTAATTATCTGTGGTCTGAATGATGCAATAAAGTACTAGTGAAAAGAAGAGTTACCGTAAAGGAGACAAAATACTGATATTAGTAGAAGATTCAATTGCTTTCTCAAAAAATCCAGTAGAGCTAAAAGAACTACTTGAATTACTCAATAAATGGGCTGGATTTAAGATAAGTGTTTGGCGATCAATTTATTTCCTGATACCAACAGAAGCCAGCCCAAACATATGAAGGAAAACTTCTGGGCAGGATGATAAGGACCCAGTTTGCTAATGTCCTCCTTCCAATGTTCTCTAGAAATGACCAATGAAGTTAAAAATAGGGGAAATTAGGGAAATATGCCAGCCATATGCTGGGCCTCAAAGCAAGTTGGTGGCCAGCTGGGACTGATGACTATTAAGTATCATTATTTAGTATTACTCTGATATTTGCTAAACTTCTTTGAAACAGGTTGTGCTCAGGCTGTCCATATGTTATTTCATTTAATCCTTGCCCCAAGAAACCTAAAAGGAAGGTGTCTTTATCTCCTTTTCAGATAAGTTTGATTAGGTCAGAGGGCTGCAGATGCCAGGTTGGAAGGCAGGTGGATCTGATTCTAAAACTCACTCTCTCTCTTTTTTTTTTTTTTTGCGGTACACAGGCCTCTCACTGTTGTGGCCTCTCCCGTTGCAGAGCACAGGCTCCGGACGCGCAGGCTCAGCGGCCATGGCTCACGGGCCCAGCCGCTTCGCGGCATGTGGGATCTTCCCGGACCGGGTCACGAACCCGTGTCCCCTGCAACAGCAGGTGGACTCTCAACCACTGTGCCACCAGGGAAGCCCTAAAATTCACTCCCTTAAGCATTATCAGGCCCCAGGTGAGTAACTAGGTAGTGAGGAAATCTGGAGGGAGGTGGAGGTGGAGGTGGAAGAGGACAAATCGGGTATTTGGGGGCTCAGAGCGGCAAGTCCTTAAGCAGTTAGGGGGAGACGACCCCTAACTGCCTGCATAGCTGAAGTGCCATAATGTGCAAGCTTTCCTTTCCTCTAATGCTTCTGTCACCCTGGCAGGTAGCACCAAGATCCACGGTGAACACACACAGTTTGAGGCTTGGAGAAGTTAGGTGGTGGCCTAAGGTCACATAGAAATGTGGGGATTTGCTCCCAGGGTGCCAGTGCCCCCATAGGCAACGCTGCAGGATGTGCACGGCCTCCCAGCCTGGCCATGTTGTGGGGAAGATGGGGGCAGAGGGCATCTGGCAGGGTTTGTTCTCCTAGTCTGCACCCAAAGGCAAGGGGCCAAGGCAAACAGGAAGTAGGGGGCTGGCCATCCCTCTGGGGCTGGAGGCGGGAGAGAGGGACCACCCACTGAAAGGGCCTCAGTGGCTGGGAGGGTTGGAGCCATACAAAGCCTCCTTGTCTTCTTGTCTTGGTTCAGATAAAACCAATTCCAGGAAGCCTTCAGCCCCGCGTGGGCCAGGCCACCCCCTTTCAGCACAGATGGAGCAGGGCTGCTAGCCCAGGGCCACACAAGTTACAGGCAGAGAGAGTGAACCAGTGGAGTGTGGCTGTAGATGCCTCTGTAGGGGATGGAAGGTGTGGGGGACCTAACAAGATGAGATTTAAGAAGGTTTTTGTTTTTTTTTTTTTAATCTACCCCCTTTCTGGCAAGCAGTCCCAAATTCTCCCAGGTAGGGGAAGATGTAGGAAGATAGGGAAATCTGCTGGGTACAGGGAGGAGTGAAGTGGGGATGGGGGTAGAGGCCTAATGTTAACAAGTATAATATCAATAATTGTAGTCGCAAAGGCCAACATTCATTGATGCTGACATTCATTGATTCCGACTTTGCGTCAGGCGCTTTTCCAAGCACCACATGCTTGTTTCTCAGTTAATCTCGGCTGGTACTGTGTGAGCAGGGTTCTGTGGTTATCCCAGAGGTTGGCAAGAGCAGTTTCCCACCCAGTGTATTTTGAAGTGTGATGAATCCACATTAAAGGGGGAGGAAAACAGCCTAACAGGGTCCACCTGCTCAGTTTTGAGATATTTTTGCATAGATTCACATTGCTCAGTGTCAGCTCAGTTCATTGTTAAAGCCATAGACATTTCCCAAGAATGTGTTCATTTATGACTCCGGGATCCTTGTGGGCTTGGGAGGGTAGGTAGTCAGTTGGCATTTCCCCTAGTTCTGTGAGAACCTTGTCTGCAATGTTCTCTAGGGAGATGATCTCATTTTGCTCCTTGAGACCGGAGTTGGGGTAAAATATAAACCGAGAACACTCCTTGTGTACTGGCCTGGGTTCCTGGACTCTTTAATCAATAGAAGTTGATAACAGTGCAGACAAGAAACTCAGGCAAGGCTTTACTGGGACTTGTGCTGCAGCAGGACGGAGTGAGAACGAGTAATGGGTGTCCTTGCTCACCCCCTGAGGGAGGGCGAGCTGGTCCTTTAGATGTGGTTGATGCCAGGATCTTGGTTCCCTGTCCACCAATGCGGAATAGAAATACTGAGACAGTAGAAAAGAGTAGCTTTATTCTTTTGCCAGGCAAAAGGGAAACATAGTAGGCTAGTGCCTCAAGAACTGTGCCCCCTTCCCTGGGGAATAGGGAAAGGTTATATAGCCCGGGGCTCCTGGTCTGGGGTAGGGGATAAGGCTCAAAGTAATTAAGGTCTTGCATTTCTTTTCTTCTGCAAATTCATGGCCAAAGCTGGCGTCAGGTGGCTCAGCAACCGGGTCTGGTGTCCCTGAAGTTATCACCCTGACCTTCTTTCTGAAATGAAGAGTGCTACAACGGAGGGTAGTGGGAGAAGAAATGCCAGGTACAAAGGGCGATTCACATGGAGTCAGAGAGCAATCAGCATTGTGAAGGACAAGTCTAGCTACAAGTGTTTGTTAGTAGTAACAGCTAAAGACTAACCAAGATTGCTTAACTCTTTCAGGCCTGTTTATGTTGTTTCCCCAGCCAGGTCATTGTTGCAAAGAGGGGGTAACAATAACTCCTACCTCATGGCAGAAAACGTGATTTTCCTTGCCTGCCTCTGAGGAGCTTTCCTCAGCTGGTCACTGTTGTTTCGTCACCTTATTTATCTGCAGGTTGGGAGTTCCTTGAGGGTAGAAAGGGTGTGAGCAATGCGCAGGCCTGCAGAGGCCCTCAGGTGGAGTTAAGGGTTTCCAGGTGTTACCACGTACAAGCTCACACTGCTTGCAACAGGACAGCCCAATAAATTCGAGAGAGGAGTTGTTGGGGGCAAGGAATAGTGACTTTATTCAGAAAGCCAGCAGACCGCATGGACTAGTTTCCCAGAGAACCATCTTGCTCAGGTTTGGATGCTAGTTTCTTTTATGGAACAAAGAGGGGGAGGTGAGGATGTAAAGTAAAAAAAAGGAGATATATTTCCTGGTTCTGGCCAGACTTCCGAGGGGGTGTGTTAATTTCTTCATTCCTGAAGCCATTCACAGGTGGACTTGGTCAGGATGTTTCCAGTGAGCTTAAAGAAAAGTATTTTAGCTTAACCCTCAGGCATGGGAGGCAGGGTTTTCAGAGATGGGCTATTATGTATACTTTAAGGTATAGCCCACATCCCTTTAGTGATTAACTTGTAGCAAAAGCGGTAGAATACAAAGGTTAAAAAAAAAGAAACAGATCCAATATGGAGTCAGATTTGTTGTTCCCTATTACACAGGGAGTCAGGAAAGTCAACTGCTGACCAAGTAAGAGCCGCTGCTGACTCTGCTTCCTGAAGTAAGTGCAGAGTTAAGGCCCCATGAAGGGGGCCTTTGAACATGAGTAGGGTTTTTCTAAGCAAGAGGTACTGTGTGCCATGGAGATTAGTGGGGTGTGAGTGGTTTACAGGAGAGTGGGGAGCCATAAATCTGGGGGGATGTTTGGCCAGATTATTGAGAGCCTCGAATGCCACTCTCAGGAGAGTCAGCCTTTGTGCTGTAGGCAGAGGTGCTGGCAGGGTTTTTGGCTGAAGGATGACTCAATCATGCCAACCCTCTTCTTTTTTTAAAAAAACTTTTTGTTTTGAAATAAGTTTAGATTTACAAAAATAATACAGCGAGTTATTGAATATTTTTCACCAGCTTCCCCACATATTAACATCTTAAGAACTGCAGTAGAATTATCAAAGTCAGGAAATTAACATTAATACAATGCTATTAAAGAAGCTACAGACTTTATTCATATGTTGCCAATTGTCTCACTACTGTTCTTTTTCTGGCCCAGGATGCAATCCAGGATCCTGCATTGATTCAATTGTCACGTCTCTTTAGGCTCCTTTAATCTAGAACAGCTCCTGTCTTTTTTTGTCTCTCATAATTGGACAGTTTTAAGAGTCCAGGCTAGTGAGTTTTGTCTTTCATAACCTTGACACTTCTGAAGAATATTGTCCAATTATTTTGTAGAATGTCCCTCAACTTGAACTTTTTTCATGAAGAGTTTGAGTTTCTGCATTTTTGTTGAGAATCTCGTATGAGTGATGCTGTGTTCTTCCAGTGCACCACATCAGAAGACACTTACGATACTGCTCTGTCTCATTATTGGTGTTGTTACCTTTGAAAAGACGATGTGGTAAAGGTGATGTCTGCCAGGTTTTTCCATCGCAAAATTACTGCTTTCCCTTTTGTAACTAATGAGTATCTTGTGGGGAGGTCACTATTATACCCATCCTCAGCCTGGCGGAGGTAGCCCTTCTCCCAGTCCTCTGGGCTGAGGATCATCTTGTCAGGCTCCAGTGGGCCTAAAATGACCTATCTCCTCAAATTTGTTTCTTCTGACGGCTCTACCTTTCCATGATGTAAGCCTCATTGACTGTTGTTGGGAATATAAATTTGTACAGCCTTTGTGGAGGGCCATTTGCCAATGTCTACAACAATTTTATATGTGTATACCCTTTGACTTTACAGTTTCACTTAGACAATGAAACACACAGATGACATATGGTATACTAAGGAAATGAAACACACAGATGACATATGGTATACTAAGGAAATGAAACACACAGATGACATATGGTATACTAAGGAAACGTTATAATAAATGAATTTCCCTTTTCTCCACATCCTTGCCAATGCTTGTTATTTGTTCCTTTTTTTTTAAAATTTATTTTTGGCTGTGTTGGGTCTTAATTTCTGTGTGAGGGCTTTCTCTAGTTGGGGCAAGCGGGGGCCACTCTTCATCGCAGCGCGCAGGCCTCTCACTATCGCGGCCTCTCTTGTTGCGGAGCGCAGGCTCCAGACGCGCAGGCTCAGTAGTTGTGGCTCACGGGCTCAGCTGCTCCGCAGCATGTGGGATCCTCCCAGACCAGGGCTCGAACCCGTGTCCCCTGCATTAGCAGGCAGACTCTCAACCACTGCGCCACCAGGGAAGCCCCTGTTCCCTTTTTGACAATAGCCATTCTGACAGTGGGAGATGATACCTCATTGTGGTTTGGTTTGCATTTCACTGATGATTAATGAGGTTAAGCATCTTTTCATGTGTCTGTTGACCATCTCTATGTCTTCTTTGGAAAAATGTCTATCCAGATCTGCACATTTTAAAATCAGCTTGTTTGGTTTTTTGCTATTGAGTTGTATGAGTTCTTCATATATTTTGGATATTAACATTTACAAATATCTACTCCCAATTCGTAGGTGGCTTTTTCATTTTGTTCATAGTTTCCTTCACTGTGCAAAAGCTTTTTAGTTTGATATAGTCCCATTTGTTTATTTTTGTTTCTTTTGCCTGAGACATATCCAAAAAAAATTTACTAATATTGATGTCACAGAGCTTATTGCCTATGTTTTCTTCTAGAATCGAGTCTTACATTTAAGTCTGTGATCCGTATTGAATTTACTTTTGTGCATGGTGTGAGAGAGTAGTCTAGTTTGATTCTTTTGAATGTAGCTGTCCAGTTTTCCCAACACTGTTTTTTAAAGAGGCTGTCTTTTCTCCATTGTATATTCTTGCCTCCTTCGACAGATTGTGTATGTCCATTTCTGGGCTCTCTATTCAGTTCCCTTGATCTGTGTGTTTGTTTTTGTGCCAGTACCACGCTGTTTTGATTACTGTAGCTTTGTAGTATAGTTTGAAATCAGGGAGCATAATATCTCCAGCTTTGTTCTCCTTTCTCAAGATTGTTTTGGCTATTCTGGGTCTTTGTGTTTCCATACAAATTTTAGAATTATTTGTTCTAGTTCTGTGAAAAATGCTCTTGATATTTTAATAAGGGTTGCATTGAATCTGTAGCCACTATGGAAAACCATATAGAGATTCCTCAAAAGATTAAAAATAGAATTGCCATATGATCCAGCAATTCCACTCCTGGGTGGTTATCTGAAGAAAACAAAAACATTAATTAGAAAGGATACATGCACCCCTGTGTTTATTGTAGCATTATTTACAGTAGCCAAGATACAGAAGCAACCTAAGTGTCCATTAATAGATGAATGGACAAAGAAGATATATATATGTATGTGTGTATACACACACACACAGTGGAATATTACTTAGCCATAAAAATAATGAAATCTTGCCATTTGTGACAACATGGATCCACCTGGAGGGTATTATGCCTAGTGAAAGAAGTCAGACAGAAAAAGACAAATACTGTATGATTTCACGTATATGTGGAATCTAAAAAACAAAACAAATGAACAAATACAGCAAAATAGAAGCAGAATTATAGATACAGAGAACAAAGAGGTGGTTGCCAGAGGGGATGGGGGTTGGGGGAGGAAAGAAATAGGAGAGGGATTAAAAGGTACAAACTTCCAGTTGCAGAATAATTGAGTGGCAGATACTGATGCCCAAGGTCTTGGCTCTCTAGGCACCGATGCCAGAAAGAAATACGGAGACCGAGTTTTGGAGGAATGAGGAAAGTGGCTTTAATCTTTGCCTGGCAAAAGGGGTAACAGCAGGCTAGCACCTCAAGAACTGTGCCCCCCCTTTTCTGGGAATAGAGAGAGGTTTCTATCCTGGGGCTCATGTTCTGCAGATAGGTGATAAGGTTCAAAGCAATGAAGGACTTGCATTTTTTTTCTTCAGCAAATTCATGGCCAGAGCTGGTGTCAGGTGGCTCATCAGTGGGGTCTGGTGTCCCTGAAGTTATCGGCCAGTGACCTTCTTTCTGAAATGAAGAGTGCTACAAGGGAGTATAGGGGGAGAAGAAATGCCAGGTGCGAAGGGTGATTCATATGGAGTCAGAGAGTAATCAGCTTTGTGAAGGACAAGTCTAGCTACAAGTGTTTGTTAGTATAACAGCTAAAGAATAACCAGGATTGCTTAACTCTTTTAGGCCTGTTTATGCTATTTCCCCAGCCTGTTCGTTGTTTCCTTATTTTACTTGTTTATCAGAAAAGAAATGTCTCATTTCTGTTTTTACTGCAACAATATGAAATGTACAGTGTGGGGAATATAGTCAATAATTATGTCATATCTTTGCATGGTGACAGATGACAACTAGACTTATCATGGTGTTCATTTTGAAATGTATAGAAATATCAAGTCACTATGTTGAGTAACAGGAACTAATACAGTGTTGTAGGTCAATTATAGTTCAAAAAACCCAATCACAGAAACTCATCGAAAAAGAGATCAGATGTGTGGTTACCAGACATGGGGGGTGGTTGGAGGGGGAATTGGATGAAGGCAGTCAAAATGTACAAATCCCAATTATAAGACAAATAAATACTAAGGATGTAATGTACAACATGATACATATAATTAACACTGCTGTATGTTATATATTGTGTGAAAGTTGTTTGGAGAGTAAATCCTATGAGTTCTTGTTAAGGAAAAAAATTTTTTCTCTATCCCTTTAATTTTGAATCTATATGAGATGATGGATGTTCTCTAAACTTGTTGCAATAATCATTTCATGATATATGTAAGTCAAGTCCTTATGCTGTACACCTTAAACTTATACAGTGCTATATGTCAATAAAACTGTAAGTAAATAAATATTTACTGTAAGCAAATAAATAAATTAATTAAATGAATGAATTCTATCTATGTACACCAGCATGGAATTACCTCCAAGATTTACTGTTGAATAAAGAAAGCAAGTTGCAGAAAAGTGTGTGTGATACAATCTCATCATGAACCAAAGAATGTCTGTGAGTCTGTGTGCATGTATATTATACACTGCTTTATTTATGTATATATATTTTATATGCGTATAGCTGAAATCTAGAAGGATGCACATTCAGCTGCTAATCATTGCTATGCACAGGGATTGGGATGAGAGCGAGGGTACTAACGTAACTGGGGACTTTATGTTAGACATTCTGATTGTTGAATGATTTGATGTTTCACAACAAGCACAGGATACATTTGTAATAGCAGTAACAACTCCTGTTGCAGCCACATTCATCTTTGTCCAGAAGAGGAAACTGACGTCCAGAGAAAGGGCCTTGCCCAAGTCCAGCCAGGAGGTTAGCAGCCAGGAGGTTAGCAGGGCAGCAGGAAGCAGATGAGAGAGCAAGACTGGGAGAGACCAGAGGTGAGCAAACAAGGCCCGGCTGGGGAGACTGTAGAAAACGTGCTGAGTGTTAAGGGAGAAGAGGGGCTGGGCCCTGCCTCCCCAAACTCTGAGAGCTCCCTTATCCCTGAGAAAGTGGAGAACAGGGTTTTGAGACCCAGCATAGGACACAGTCCCTGAGTGTGAAGGACCTGGTGGAGGCGACCATGATGCAGATTGAGGAAATGATGCCGAGGACAATCTAACTGCCTCTGAGTGAGATAGGGAGTGGGTGCCAGAGATCAGGGTGGAGCAGCCCGGGACCCACTATTTCCACCTTCATCGCCCCCATTTTACAAATGGGATTGAGAACAGGTAGGAAACCTGCCCAAGGTCACACTGGACTCCAAAGGCTGCTCTTCACTGCGGACGTGCCTCAGGCTATGGAAGTACATCTTGCTAAAGGTGGATCCCAAAACTAGCGTGTGACCTACACTTACCTAGGCCTTGAACATCCTTTAAAAAAAACCCCACACTTAAATTGAGAATTTTGCAACCAAAATTTGAACACCACTGAACTTGACTAAGAAGGAACAAAAACAAAATAGAACAGAAAAGAAAAAAGAAAAAGGAAGGAAGGAAAAGAAGGTATATGCAAATATCTTAGCTGTGGAACAATTCTGCTTTAACTCAGTTTCCTAGGACTAAGAGATATAGATGAGTGCAGAATTCTCAACTGTTCCAACCAGTCTGCAGATTTTATTCCTTTGTAAATCTAAAATATAATGAATATTTTGTATGGTGTTGTAAAGCTTAAATGGGGGGGGAAGTAGGGTTGCACATTTCTGACTGAGGTATAAATTTAGTTTGTAAACTAAATGTTCAAATGATTGCTGTCTCCTCAGGGTTGCCACTTGAGCCTGAATTTCCAATCTGCCCAGATAAAGAAGAGAGGATTTGGGAGGGAATTCTACTGGAGTGATGGCTCGGAAAAAGGTTAGTAGTTGGGATATGTACTTTTGGGTCAATGTTAGTGAAGTAATTTGCCTAAAAGGGGCAGAAATGCCGATTCAGGATCAATAAGAGGTAAATTTGGTTGTGTGGGGCAAGGTTAGATTAGAATTTTTAAAAGAGCCAGAGAATTTAACTTTTTTTTGTTTTTGCAAATTAATTTTTATTGGAGTATTGTTGCTTTACACCGCTGTGTTAGTTTCTGCTGTACAGCAAAGTGAATCAGCTGTACATATACATATATCCCTTCTTTTTTGGATTTCTTTCCCACTCAGGTCACCACAGAGCACTGAGTAGAGTTCCCTGTGCTATACAGTAGGTTTTCATTAGTTATCTATTTTATACATAGTTGTGTATATATGTCAGTCCCAATCTCACAATTCATTCCACCCACCACTTCCCCCTTGGTATCCATACATTTGTTCTCTACGTCTGTGTCTCTATTTCTGCTTTGCAAATAAGATCATCTGTACCATTTTTCTAGATTCCACACTTATGTATTAATATATGATATTGGTTTTCTCTGACTTGCCTTACTCTGTATGACAGTCTCTAGGTCCATCCATATCTCTGCAAATGACACAGTTTCGTTCCTTTCTGTGGCTGAGTAATATCCCATTGTATATATGTACCACATCTTCTTTATCCACTCATCTGTTGATGGACATTTAGGTTGCTTCCATGTCCCGGCTATTGCAAACAGTGCTGCAATGAACACTGGGGTGCATGTATCTTTTTAAATTTAATTTTAAACAATTGCTACTCTTGCGAATCTCTAATTTGTTGTGCCTGATCTGTAGGCCTTCGTCAGAAAAAAATGTGTATATATCAGATCTCAAAACTGAGGGACATATGAGAGCAACCACGGTCATAGGGATTAACTTGCCAACTAAGGAATGTTGCTTGCCATCCAGTTCTACAGGAATCAAGATACTAGCCACTGCAGTTACTGACGTATAGCAACACTCTGGAGAGAATTCAGGGTGAAGCTCAGGAATGAGGCACTCTGTGCTCTGGGAAAACTGTGACAACAGGCCCTCAGATAGTTTCATATTTTTGGGAGAAATTTTTATGGACCCAAATTCTTGCACTGTCCCATGCTTAGAAAAGTACTAAAATCATTAACTGAGATATCTGATCCTTGTGACTGGTAGCAACCTTCTACAGAGATGTGTGCTTGATTGTACATATCCCTTCTCCAAAATCACATACCTCTTCCTCCTGGGCTCTAGTCCTCAGTAAGACAGTAAATAAACTCAACTCACAGCTCTTATGTTGTGTGTGTGCGTGTGCGTGTGTGTGTGAGTGTTTCAGTTAACAAGCTAAAAAACAGAATGACATTGAGAACTGGCCTGGAAGTTAAGGTTCAAGGTAGCTGTTTCCCAGCTCTGCTGCTTATTTGCTGTGTGTGCTTGGGTAGTCAGCTCACACTTTCTGGGCATTCGTTTCCTCTTCTGCAAAATGAAGTTGTGGGTGTAAGGAGCCCAGAGGAGCTGAGGTTCTCAGCAGCGATGGCAGCTCCTTTCTGCTCACGTCACAAGCCTTAGGAAAGCAGCCTTGTTGGCAAGCTGGCTGTCTGCATTCCATACTCAATTGCCCACCTTGGAGGAAGATGAAGTTGGAGGCAGTCACGTTGCCTTGTACTCAGAGCCCAGGCCGGCAGAAGGCATGCCTATCCTGGCTGCAGCAGGTGCTAAAGGCAGAACTGGGCAGTGGTTAAGACTTGGGGGAGTCAGAGAAACCTGGTCTCCAATCTCAGCTCTACCCCTTTCTAGACATGAGATCTCTGGTAACTTGCTGTCTCTGATCTGAGTGTCCTCTGTAAAATGGGAATGTTAATAGTACCCACGCCTCTTGGGCTTGTTGAGAGAATCAGATAAGATGTGTATAAATGCCTAGAACAGTGCTGGGCACATATTATGTATTCAGTCAATGTTAACTATTATTATTTTTGTTGTTTTTATTACTCAAAATCAAATCTTAACTTCCTACCTAATATAGGAATTCTTTCTATGGCATATGGGACAAGTGGCTATTCTCACTCTTCTTGAATACTTCCAGTGACAGGAAGCTCACTACTTCTCCCAGTAAATTGTTTCACGAGTGGATAGTGCTTTTGGAATTTTATGGACTTTTAAAGCTGGTACCTTATATAAATCTCAGGTTTAACTGCCTCATGAGGAAACCCAAGTTCAAGAGGTATCAATAAAAGATTTGCTCAAGGCTGCATGGCTAATTAGGTGGCAGCTGCTCCCTTCTTCTGCCTTCCAATCTTTTAAATAGATTTATTTATATTTTTATTTATTTTGGCTGTGCCGGCAGCTGGGGCACACGGGATCCCCGTTGCGGCATGTGGAATACTTAGTTGTGGCATGTGAACTCTTAGTTGCAGCATGCCTGTGGGATCTAGTTCCCCGACCAGGGATCGAACCTAGCCCCCCTCCCCCACCCCGCCCTGCACTGGGAGCGCAGAGTCTTACCCACTGGACCACCAGGCAAGTCCCCTGCTTTCCAATCTCATTCACTAAGTCCATTTTCCTTAGTGCATCTGAGAGCTTTGATACTGCATCCACCAATGCCCCCCACTCTCCCCAAAGAACAATTCCTGGAGGGCCCAGGCTGTCTGTTGCTGGGCCTCTTTGGATCCCAGATAATGTTAAAGGTTCATTGACTCACTCGTGGTTGCTGGGATAAAAACCTCTATTTTAGAACTTCCAAATGATGAAGGCTGAGTTCTCCTTGCTGCATTTTCCAAGACAGTCCCCTCCCCCCACCCCAATGTCACTGGGATGTTTCAGCTCTGCCCCATTCCTCAGCACAGCCCTTTGGTTGCCCAGCCCTCACTAGTCCCACTGGCCTCTTAATCTCCATCCTGATGCTGTTTGAATACGCCTGGTCTCACAGGCCCTAAAGGCCAATGCCCATTTCCCTACCTGCTCCACCTAGTCTGGATGTATCGTCACACCAGAAGTGGTACCCCCTGGGGACAGTTATAGCTGTCCTGAATGGAGCTATCTTCCCCACAGTGATTCCAGAAAAATAGCATGTGTACCTGATCAGGAGAGGGGCCTGGCCACCCCCACCCCCAGAAGCCCTCAGTGCCACTGACTTGACGTTGGATGATGCCTCATAGCATCATCAACAACATCAGCCCTCCTACCCAGCTCACTCGCTCTGTGCTCCTGATCTGGCCTCTTCCCCTCCCCCTCTTGAATTAATCAGGAAGCATCACTGTGATCTTTATAAGGCCAACCTCCAGTGGTTTCAGAGGAGGCCTCTCTAACCAGTCCCTGGTTAGACTCATGTTCAGATGGAAACATCTTTTCCTTCCAGATGCCATTTCAAAGGGATATTTGAATGGATTGCTTACTTGAAGTAGAATTCAGATGATTTCTACACAAGGATTTAGATGGTGGAGTCCACTTTAAATATGTATTTCACAGAGCAAAATATTTCACTGTGAATATATGGATGCCACAGAGAGATTTTATGCTATGGTTGCATCTGTAATTTACAACCAATAGGCAACAAACACACATGTAACAAACATACGTTTGGGAGTCACAGCTATCTCTTGACTCTTGGTTCTACCCCTCACTAGCTCTGATTGTTAACGAGCTACTTAATTTCATTAGGCCTCAGTTTTCTAATTAGGAAAATGGGATGCCAGGGCATACCTCCTAGGGGTTAAAGTGAGGATTAAATGAAAAAATGCAAACAAGGCTCTAAGCATAATGCCTGGCCACCCACTGACTGTTCAATTAATGTTACTCTTATTATTATTAACATAGAAGCAACATTCTATGGGATTCCTGCAGATTCAAAGGATATAATGGGTTTACATAAGGAATGCTTGTCTCTGGCCTACAGTGTGTTTTGCAACAGCCATTACAGGATGCCAGGACAATATTAAATATGTTTCAAAATTGAAATTTCATAATATATTTATTTTCAGTTTCCTAGGAAATATTCTGTAATACCCAGAACATAAGCCCAGCAAATTCTTTTGCTATGCAGACATTAAAGCTTCGTAAATGCTATAAATAACCTTTTCAGTGTACATGTGCAACGTATTACTGCTGCACCTTTAACCAATGGCAAGAACATCCCTAGGTCTGCAGAATGTTTACAATATTTGTACATTGCTATGGCTACAGTATCAAAGGCAGGCGCCAGTAACATGAACAGGATGTAGGGGTTTAGGGCCGCTAACAACAATGATGGAAACTACTCTCACTCTTAATGCATCTTTCTTGGATAATATTTGTAAAATATTTGGGAGGTGAGCCATGCTGTTGAGAACATTACTTTGGATGTTTCATCCAATATGCTGACAGGCAGCTTGGTGAAATAGCAAGGAGTCAGAGACCCAGGTCTGACAGCAAATTGATTGTGTGACATTGGTGGTTACCTTTCTCTGTAGGCGCGCAATTTCTCCCGGTGTAAAATGATGGTGGGGGGTGTCTATCTGAAGATTTCTGTAGTCCGTTCCAGCATTCTGATTACGGGTTAACCACAGACATCATTTGGTCTCATATCCTGTGTAGTTAAAAGGCAATTCTGGCTAAGTTGAACAAAGTTAAGACAGATTTTTGGAGGCATCCAAGATGAGCTATACTAGTTGGCCAGCCTGGACTTTCTTTTTTCTGTTGTTTCCTGTCTTGTTCAAAAGCCTTGTAAGTTCCAGTGGCTCTCACACTGTCTTAGAGATGATTTTTTTCCCCTCCAAGGGAGCAACAGGGAATGTGGGCAACTCAGCTCTTTTTTGGCAAATTGTCAAAACTTAACTAGAAATCAGATTAAGTTACCAAACTCACACTGTCCTAGGAGTCCTTCTCAAGATGCCAAAGTTTAGTAGCAATTGACATATGGCAACATATATATTACTATTCATTTAAATCAGAAATACTTGCTCACAAAACAGCAGTGTACATTTTCCAAGAACAGGCACAGCAAACACCTTGGAATTGTTGCCTGGAAGTGGG